ACTCAAATACCTACCTCCTGTCCCTATCCTCCCCAGGAACGCACGATGTTCTTTGAACATTATAGGGATTCCCTTTCATGCGCTCCAATCGATAAAAAAAAAAGAAAAAAAATTGGAAATGAACTCATACTACTCTTAACTGAAACTAGTGAACTTGACTGTCCCACTCTTGTCGATTAAATTGATACACTATTATTGTTCAATTCAATCTATAAGTATACGATGAAATATCAATCTATACAGGTTCAAATCGTCTATTCTATACTGGATAGTGAAATAATTAATAATGATTATAGTGTCGATAATATTATGATCATGATATCAACTTCAAGTAGCTTTTCTACTATACTCTCGTTGTAACAGATGTTTTCAACATGGAGTTATCAACGTATATCTTAGTTTTTTCCCGTTTTTTCCGTTTCGAATCATTATTTCGAACGATTTATGAAACAGATAGGTTAACTAGTTAGTCTAATGCGACTCGAGTCATTTTTCTAATATCAAACGATTAAAATATTATAAATTCACACCACATGTCTTGTAGTGCCTAGTTTACTCAACTAGTGTTCTATATCAATCTAAATTGATGAATAAATGAAAACTCCTTATTAGCACCGGAACACATAATTAATTTGAACAATGCAGGAGCAATTTGACATTCAGGAAGAGTCTCGGGAAGAGTGAATAATTCAATCAATTTCCGGTGGATTCGACACTGTTTATAGTGTGAAATCTACTCTATACTATTATATTCCAACTGTCAACTTTTGTGACTATGTAATAACTCGGTCATCGAATTTCACTCTAAAGTTATGACATTGACACTTGCTCGGGTCTTGAGTGGAATGTTCACTTTCGAAATTGTTTCTTCCAACACTGATGGTGAGTCTGGATTTGTACTTGGTGCAACAATTTTCGAACGAGTTCTAGGAGGTCGTGCGTCGTGCGAGCCAACAAAATGGCCGGTTCATTGATAAATAATCCTGAAAACCACCTTACAAGGGCATAGATATGAGGAGGGTTAAAGCAAGTAATTACCCCCTCCAGAATGATGAAGAATCGATCAATCGATTTCAATTCTATTGATTTTCTCTGATATTTATTCAGATTTTGATTAGTTATTTCTGGTTGTTCAACCGTTACAAATTGTGATTTGTCCCATTAGGACTGCTTTTTTTGTGGTCGGCCGACTTTGGGTGCTTCGTATTTTTCTTTCAATCAACTTAATTATTATCGAGAAACCACATTTGTTCATTAATTCAGGTAACATGGTGAATATAATAAAATAAAGTGGACAGTTAAATAAGACTCAGCACACTCAAGGAGAAATCTTTCTATACATGCGAAAACTTGGCCAAGTAAATCGTTTTCTTGAAAGAAATTCGATTGTGACTAGTAAATTTTCATCTAGGTTATGAAAATGAGGTAAGTACCTACTTGAAGTAGGCAAAACCATATTCCTGAAACAATGTTTCTGCTGTACTTAATAGTATTAATAGTTGTTCGATCATATATTCAAATAATTAAAAAACTGAAAAGGAATATTCTCAGTAATATTTATGAACAAAAAAAATGTTTATTCAACAGAGAACATCTACTTTCCTGGCTATGCCACGACGAACATTACAGCTTTTGAACACACAGGATGAGTATTTGAAAACAAAATCTTCTGAAGTAGAGAATTTGAATTCTACTTCATATAAAGATATGCACATAATATCATTCTGAATATTCAACAAAACACAACTACTTTCCCGGCTATTTGCTACGTCGAACATTGAACTATATCTGTTGAATATCCAAAAAGAGAGCATAAAAAATCAAAATCCTCTGGAATTGAAAATTGACATTATCCCTCGAATCGAATAGAATAATATGATGTATTATGATATAAAAATATACCTAACTCACCATTTCAATACTGAACATACTATTCTTTTCGATTTGAGAGATAATGTCAATTCTCAATTTCTGAGCATTTTGGTTTTTCATGCTCTCTTTTTGGATGGTCAACAAATATAATTCAATATTCGACGTGGCAAATAGCCAGGAAAGTGATTGTTTTCGGTTGAATATTCAGAATAATATAATGTGCATATCTTTATATGAAGGAGAATGCAAATTCTCTACTTCAGAAAATTTTATTTTCAAATTCTTCGTGGCATATAGCCAGGAAAGTAGTTGTTTGATATTTTGAAATTGAATAACTGATCGTCAGCCCACCATGCATTGCAGGAAACCTGGTCGCGCCACTGATTTAAATACTCTTCAGCAATAGTGAATGGCACGAAGCAGTCTAGCATGAGAAATTAGTTCTAGCATGGGAAATTAGTAGTAGTAGATGCAAGATGCAATTCAGTCATTTCATAAGCCCATATTCCCACAACATTTGTTTATTAATAGCAGGAAACTCAGTGAATATAATGAAACAAAGTGGATAGTAAAATAAGACTCAGCACACTCAAGGAGAGTACACTGAGAGAACAGTTTATTTACAATAAAGAAATTTTATTTATTGTTAACGAATGACGTTGTTGAATATGGACTAACTAACATGATTTCATCACAAACTAATGGTATTTTAAAAAATTACAAACGAATATACAGGTTAATATTAAGTTATAATAATCTTGATCTCATGAAACATATATTAAATATTAACAAATATCACTTTGTGGACACTATACCCCATTTTGCATCAAAATAGATTTGTTTATAATAATGTAACGTTACTTCAAATTCAATTAACGTTTTCTTAATGCAATCGACTGTCACTTATATGTTAAGTTATCTATATTAAAACTTAATACACTGCGTTTTAATTTTAGCTTTTCCAGTGTTGTACAGAAAGGAGGCATTGTTTCAGTTTCAATAAAGAAGCATTACTTATAGCATAAGGAATCATTTTGTTACTGATAAGTTATGCTTCGTCAATATATTATAATATATTGTTTGGTTATTGATAGTTAATATTTTGAGTCGATGATCGATGGTTCCAATTGTTTTTTCCTAACAGAAAGAATAAAGAGTCTCTGAGAACAAATTTATTCAAGCAAAAGTTTACAGTATAGTTACATCACATATATTTTGAAATCAACACATCTGAATAAAAAGAGCTATAAAATCAGACCAAATTCCAGGTGTATCGAGCATCCACTATATTGATATGAATGATCTGTAACAAAAAAATAAACAAGTTCTTGATAGAGATAATATATCTTGTCCCATTTATTGATCGGTACGGTATTTTTTCATCTCTTCGTCTATAGAAGGATGTTGAAATTGCATTTAATCATTCAAAATGATTTCAAAGTATAAAAAAATAATAAACTATAAGGTTTTCCAAGGTCAACGATGTTCATTAGGTCGAAAAGTCATGATTTTTCATCTGATGCATCAATTTCGAAGCACTTGGACGGATTAAAATGGATGAGATACAAAAATTTTGGCATGTTTATGGATATCTCAACAGTTGTCGAATACTGATTGACAATAACACAGGCATGTTAACTATAAACAAATATTGGTTACTATCTAATTAATTTCATATTCGAGCCTTGTTTCTTCAATCAAGGATTTTGTGGATTTGCATCCATTCTTATAAATCTATTCACTTATATGAATTTGCACTTGTCATCTCCTCATAATTGATCTGTACAATCATCATCCTATGTACAGGAAGATCAACCATTTAACCTTGCGGAATCTCTCAACAAAATTTCCTAGACCCCACCCTCTCAGTGTTTCCTCCATCTTGGAAGTCTATAGAACAAGCTTTAGAGACGATGTATCAGCATGCCTAATAGTTATCAAATTGGTAAGAATTAGAGTCAGACGATGAGAAATATATAGGAATTCAATTAATAATAACACTTGATGGAGAAGTAAATGCTAGTATGATTTATTCACCATGCACACTCTTTATTGTGTCTTAGAAATTGAAGAACAATATGATAAAAACTCACCAGCCACTTCGTGTAATACCTATGCTCCAGCACAAACTGATGAAACTCAAATTCACATTCAACAGTACACACCACAATTTTCTGTGTTAGCAATTGATATTTGATTATTAGGTCACTCCAAGCGTCCTTTGCAGTCTAACATGTTGACTCCGACTACCTACTGCATTCCAACCTCGAGCATGCGCCGAAGAGAATATCACTACGTCATGGGATGGTCAATAATTGTATAACAAATAATTTGTTTCTCTCAAGAACAATTTCTTATTATCTAAGCAATTAAACTGTGGGGAGAATTTGTTACCAGTTAATAAATGGTAATTCGAGAGTAAGATTCCAAAAAGTTTGGATATAACGAACATGTTTGTGACAAACTCATGGAAGTTACTCCTAAAAACATATGTTAATATTGAAAGAATCAGCTTTTAACGAATCCTTTGTTTTCGGTCAACGATTCTTTTACAAATTACATGATAGTATTTAATAAGGTATATTGATGACAAGAAAATGGCGTTAATATTCAACGAAGCATACTCAAACAAATCAATTTATTTATCATAACAAAACCTTTCCCTCAGTGTACTTTTTGTTAGTTCAACTGAAAATGATTCCTAATTGACTCAGATGTTTAGACTACTTAATGAAATCTTCACACGAGAAAACTTGGCTAAGTAAATCGCGAGGTAAATCGTTTTCTTGAATAAAAGTCGATTAATTGTGACTAGTAGATTTTCACCTGAGTTAGGAAAATGAGGTACCTACTTGAAGTAGGCAGAATCATATTTCTGAAACAATGTTTCTGCTGTACATAATATTGTAAATAGTTGTTGGGTCATGAATTCAAATAATTCAATTACTGATGGTCAGCACGCCATGCATTGCAGGAAACCTGGTCGCGCCACTGATTTAAATACTCTTCAGCAATAGTGAATGGCACGACGCAGTCTAGCATGGGAAATTCTGACTCATAACTCGTTCCCCATAACACGACGTGATAGAGTAGATTAGATGCAAGATGCAATTCATTCATATTCTTACCTCGTTAATAGCCTTCAGAGAATATTCGAACGAGATAATTATTGACCTCGCACAACAGGTGTCACTGAAAACCCGCGATGTGCCGATGTGTTTACAACCGGTGTTATCGCTTTGTCGACTGAGTGATGTTTATATCCTCGGCCCGCGGTTAGATGCTTCGAAAGTGTGTTGTGTGTTGTGGCCGAACTCGCGAATTTATATCCCCCACTTTCTGACGATGCTCCTAGACTTGGTGGGTCTTCGACGAGATGTTGAGGAGGGCCTCGCGCTACTCGCTGGAATATTCATTAGCACCAAACAACTGTGACCAAACAGCCGCGTTACTAGAAATTCGCCGTCTCCACACGAGAATTCTTTATGGGCCACCAATTTTTCAGATTGGGTTGCCAAAGTTGTCCTCAAGATCCATCATCAGAGATTGGACCTCAATAATAGACAAGACGACAACGATATTCCAACAAAATATTCTTTTCGGCAACCGCCCGGCAAGTGCACACTTCCCGGACACCTTTTTATGAGAAAGTAGCATATTTTTGGCCTAGTCCGGGAAGTAAGTACTTCCCGGACTAGGCTAGCTTAACCTCAACATACAATGAGCTAAGACTACTGGGAACCCTGACGAAGGCTTAACACAGTGATAACTTGAAGAACTCTCACGAACGATAATATTTTGACGGTACTAGGCTGAGATATTGTTGGTCCTTCGGGCATCCCTGAGAATGAATGCCTCGTAATTATACAGTGTGTTTCATTACTAATTGGCAATATTTCAACCATAGAATCCCGAACTCAAAATAAGAAGCTCTAACCCAAATAACCTATATAAAATATGTCTCCTGTCTGAGTTACAGGGTGTTTCATTCAAAAATTTTGAAATGTTTTCTGCCCAGTTCTTCAAAACTTTTTGACGTAACTCAGACGGGAAACATATCTCATCTAGGTGATTTGGTTTAAATCTACATACTTATTTTGAGTTCGGGATTCTATGGTTGAAATATTTCCAATTAGTAATGAAACACCCTGTATAAACATGTTTGATGTATGATGTATGAATTATTGATAATATATATACCTGTTGAATTCTGCCTGTAACAAGTGATGCACTGAAAGGGAATTGAATAAACTGTACTCGACCTGTCTATGTGCTCCTGATTTTTCTGTCCTGATAACAAAGGTACAAAGTCAATTCCATTCCAGAAACCATATTTGTGACAATTAGGGCTTCTTAAGACCAAGGTTTAATGAATCTTCCCAAGACCGAAACCAAGACTTGACTTTCGAGACCAAGACCAAAAGGCTCTCTCCCAAGAGTCTTGATCTTGGTCCTGAAGGAGAAATAATGAACTTAAATCTACTCAAAATAACGAAAAAACTTATGGAAAACGTAATGGCATTTTATTTCAGTTATTTGTTTTTCATATGGTAGGTTTCTGATTTTTTTTTCACTCAAAATCCGAAATTCATTTTTCGAAGAAAAATCTGATGGAAAATGTAATGGCATTTTATCTCAGTTATTTATCTGTTATATGGTAGGTTTCTACTTTTTGTTTCCCAAAAATCCGAAATACATTTTTGAAATTCACAATTGCAGTTTCAAGTTCACAACAAATAGGTGTATGTTGTAAGGTAACATTGGTCCATACCTCCACCTATTGAAGATAAAAACAAATTTAATACAAAAGTTTTCTGGCTCGAAAATAAAATGTTCTGAAATATTTCAATAATGTGTTGTTGTCAGTTCCAACCTTTTTGAAATTTTTTCCCGCTTTCTCCTGACCAGTCGAACGTCGGTCTGTTTGCTGTTTGGGTCTCATTCAATTACAATTTCAAAGACTAAGAAATACGAAATAATTATTATATGCATATTAACTGTTGGATATTTGAATTGAATAATTAGAATTCATGTACGCATTTCGATCTAAAACCAAGACCACGACTGAGCCAGTCTCGTCTTGATCCTGAAACATCAAGACCAATATCAAGACCAAGACGAGGACTGATCAGTTCAGGTCTTGGTATCGCAAAGCCCTAGACTGACAATCCGTATTGGGATGATATCAATCTAATCCAAGAGTAATTACTAGACTATAAGAAACATCTATCCATAGCACCCAGTATTAAATTGATCTGTGCAACCACAAAAACTCCCGAATCAAAAGAATACAAGATCACCTGTGAAGTGACGGTGATAAAATTGAAATGTTCCATGGAGACGTCAACCTTGCTACCTATCCTACACCGAACACTCACCACATAAAGACTGTTTAACTCAAACAATCAAGTATCAACCTAGGCTGATAGTACTGATAACCAACCAGAGAATAGTTGTCCTATAGAAGTATTTAGTGCACTGAAGCCAGTATAGGAACACATTGCCAAAGGAGATGTTCCCCGAGGCAGATAAACTCCAGAAATTCAACAAGAACACCAACTCCTACCTAATTCCCCTTGGTTTTCACTATGTTCTCTGAACATTACCAGAATATCCCTTTTCGTGGGAACTAGAACATAAAAAAAAATTGAAACATAAGCGATACGCGATCTCAGTTATATATGCATCAGGCCTATCTTCAGCTGAGTGTGGACCAACATGCTGCAGATGCCCATCATACCATCATCACACATCGGGGTGCTTTCAAATGAAACTGGCTGAAATTTGGTGTTTCTATTGCACCGCAAATATTTCGACGTTTTATCCACATACGATCAGCAGGGACATCTGGAGCTTCTTCATATTATGATGATGTGCTGGTGGTCGGAAGCTCGGATGATCATTTGGAGAACAAGATGCGAAACATTTTTTAGACGTTCAGTGGAAGATGAGCTAGTTGAATAACAAGGGCAGGAGGCGGCAGTCGCTTATCATAGTCGTGCACTCTCAGGCCAAAAAAAAAAAACTTTGCCGAAATTAAAATAAAAGAAGGATGTTTGTTGGAGTAACGATTATATGTATGGTCGTCATGTACCTATTCAAACAAATCACAGACCTTTAATCTCTGGTAGAAGTCCATGTTTGCTCAATGTGGAGTGGAATTTTTAAAAGGAGGAAGGAAAGCTCAAAGTCATCTGCACAACTTTGATAATGATGTAGTCAATCAGAGGGACATGTTTCTTACTTATGAAAGTCCATCTTCATGCGTATTTCAGGAGTTACTACAAGCAAAAGAATGTGAAAATATACATATATTATCTCGCATATTGTTAAAAAACCAAAAATTGAGGTGAACATTATATGTTTTTGAAATAGATGCCGATGACTGTCATCATAATATCGTGAATGATGATAAATGAGTTTTAGTTCGAGAATAAACGAGTTTTCATTGAAAATGAAGGGCCCCGTACCCTAAGAACGCGCACTTATGAAATCAAAAGTCAAGTCCCAGAAGGGAAACTTGACAAGCACTCAAGGTGCTCGAAAAAAGCAGGAAAAACTGAAGGATACCGTACCCTTGAGAGAGCATACTGAAAATCCAAAAATCAATTCTGAATTATTGGGGCCAAAAGCCAGAAACGTGTTAAATTCAACTTAAGGTTAGAAACACCGAATTAATTCAATGACCCTTGACATAATTCAGAGTCTCAATGACACGATAATATGACAAGTGGCATAGGACACAGAAGTGAAGTAAAATGAACACTGGGATGAATGTGAAAACAACTAGTGGTAGTACAGTTAGAACTAATTCAAACAGAAATCACAATGAGTAGATTTTGGGGGATGGGGGGAGGAAGATTCCAAATGTGAAATATGATCAAATGAATAATGAAACAACATAATACTAAATCTGGTTTTGGTAAACTCTAAAGAATTTTAAAAAATTTCACAATCATAGTTGACCTGTTCATTAAGGGATGTGACAGAATTATTGTTCACTGCAGAATTCATTTCAAAAATTTCTAACAGATTCAGCTCTATCACGATGTTGTCACAGACCCTCTATCTTGAGAAATCTCAATGCTAGAATATGTTCCAGAAAAAATATCAGCTCAGGATCAAGGAAGATCTTATACTCTCCCGAGTGCTACAATGGGTCTGGAGAGGAAGTCATCATATTTCAGACCGTATCTACAGCGCAATGATGAGATAACCTCTTGTAGGGACTGTTTGTTGTGGGAAACACGTATTATGATTCGGCCTGAGGAAAGAGTTCTGATAAGTTTACACACTTGCCATCCTGGAATCATAAAGTAAAATTATGCTGGCAATATCTTATGTGTGGTGGCTGGATTTGAACAGGTGTGTGCTAACTAAATAGAAGATTTCAAGGAAGGGTACTCATTCACCCATGGAAATAGTCAGGGGCTCCCTAGTCACGTTTTCATATCGACTCTGCTGGACCAGCCAATGGTCAGTTTTTTCATAGCTATTGACTCATTTCTGTGTGGTGAGAGGTGCGATTCGTCAAGAATACCTTCACAACTACAATTACCCGGGTGCTCCAGTAGTTATTTGCTACCCATGGACTGCAGAATACTCAGTTCTCGAATGTGTGCTCTATGAAGTGAGCTCGGTAAGAGACAGTATGCAGAGTCACAGACCTGGATCTTCCCGAGAAGTTGATATTGCCAGAAACAATATGTAGATCCCTAGACCATGATCTACTCAATCTCCTACACCAGTGTTTCCAAACGCTTCCGTCTGTTTTGCCAGGAGTCAGTATAAACTACTGACCAACATCCGATAAATTTACATGTTCCTCATTTGTCAGTATAATGTTAGCGTACCTACCAGAAGTGTGAAACCAAGTTTGCAGCTTTGTTAGACCTGTGCTAATTTCATGGTGTTAGAAAAACTTCGAAGAACCACTGAAAGGGTGCTCGATACAGAAGAAGTGAATCTTCCATTTTTTTAAGCTGTGAGAATTTCATACAATTTCAGCTCAACTTACAGGACCTGAAAAATTGGATTTTTACCAAATATGTAGTTAGAATTTCAGTTTTTGTTGTCTTTCGGGCTGAGTAGTAGACTAGAATACTCATTCTACGAGAAAATGTAACGAGGATGAAGTTTCAGAGCAGTTATTAAGCTTCGATTCCAGCATGAAACATATTCTGTAGGCGCAACAGCCACCTTGTTGGTATAAAATCAAAAATTGAAAAAATCGAGAGAGGTATAGATCGAAGCCTAACGAATTGTGGAACCAACTTCATCGATGATTTTCAAAATGAAAAAATTTTTTTCGAGCACCTATAATGGTAGGTACCCTAACAACAAATATATCGATGAATCTGATGAAACATGTCATTGTTTTTTTTATATACTGTCAGTGGTCTAGCAGGCCTGTA